CTCACCGGCCCCGCTCTCACCGCCGTTGGCACCTCACCGGCCCCGCTTTCACTGCCATTGGCATCTCACCGGCCCCGCTTTCACCGCCATTGGCATCTCACCGGCCCCACTTTCACCGCCATTGGCATCTCACCGGCCCCACTTTCACCGCCATTGGCATCTCACCGGCGTGCTGTTGCTGCTGACTGCTTCAGCCTTACCGGCCCGCTCTCGCTGCCCTCTCACCGGCCTGCTGTCACTCCCCACCGGCCCACTCTTGATCCGCCGCTGTTGCTCCGGCCCATGCTCGATCCACCATTGATACAGGACGTTGCCCATGTGTTCAGCTCCCACCACGCGGTTCCCTGTCATGACCGGACTCCTTCCTGACTCCTTATGAAGTTAATTGGGCGGGGTTGGTGGGGGATAGAAATACTGCAGAGAGGAGAGAGAAGAAGAGAACAAAGGAAAGGAAAAGGAAAGGGATCTGGCAAGCAGATGGAAATCCGAATGGAGTGATTTACTCTGCTACCATCTGTGTCCCATGCTGCCTGAGAACTGGCTGCTTTCCCAAAATTTCTGAATAAGTGTTTATTATCATCATCTGGTGTCTGTGAAAGTTCTGTTATTCTGATTCCTTTTACCAGTGACTAAATTCCAGCAATCAGAGTGAGAAGGCAAAGCTTGTTGGCTCGCTGATTGTTCTGGAAGCCCTCATAACACCCTACCACATGTACTAGGATGTCCAACCAATAACACACCCAGGTTAGTTGCAGTAACTTTCTAATCCCTTTCTCTTGTACATTCATGAAGGGTAAAACAGGTATATCTGTGAGAGGTGGCTTTCTGCTGAGAGGGGGAGATAGTTGAAGCTCTACTTGTTGAGTCTGTCCCTGTTTGAAGTACTTTGCAAGTGGGATCTTCACACAGGACTTTGCCAGACAGTCATTGAACATACAACCGAAGTTTTTTTATTCCCTGTAGCAGTTTTCTTTTAGAAAAAAAATGTATTTTGGAAGAAGAAGTAACAAATGCCTGCAAATACTTTGGAGTTCTGATCCATTATCACGAGATAGGATCAAAAGAATGTGATTTCAACTTCCTCTGTAGTGATCTGAGCATATATAATTTTTTTTATTGCTGGTAAGGTCAACATTTGTTGCCTGTTCCTAATTGCTCTTGAACTGAATGGCTTGCTGAGCTATTTCTGAGGGCTGTGGATCTGGAGCCATGTGTAGGCCAGCCTACAGAATGATGGCAGATTAATTTCCTTGAACAGTATTAGTAAAGCAGATGGGTTTTTCCCTTACTTCAGTGACAATTTCAAGTCACCATTACCTTCAATTCCAGATTTATTGATTGAATTTCAATCACACTCATTCCTCTGATGGTATTTGAACCCTTACCCCAGGATATAGACGTGAGCTTCTGGATTACGAGACCAGTGATATTAGCAGTCCACCACCATCCCACCACACAGTCCATCCTGCAGTATGCTATATTGCCAGAGTAGAGATTCTGCAACACTATTTGAAGAAGAACAAAAATGTTGGGTGGAATCTTAGAGGGACCTGACTGATATAGATTATGGCGAGAGTGTGGCAGAATTGATCATGCAGGCCAGCAACACCTATCTCAATCTCGGGAGGAACCCTTTGCATCTTTTATACTTTCGTGGGAGGCTTGGAGAGTTTCTCGCTATGCAACGGCAAGTTGCCAATTAAGGGGAATTATAACTTGTTAAACATAATTATTCATTAATATTCATCATCCTATCTTTCAAACACACTGAACAAGTTTGACACTGAGAATTCCTGACATGGACTTCAAAGTGATCACCTGATGACTTCTGGACCATTGTGTGTAGCTTTGTCACTCTGTTATAGGAAGGATGTGATTAAACTGGAGAGGGTTCAGAATAGATTTACCAGAATGTTGACAGGAATGGAGAGTTTGAGTTATAAAAATGGACTGTAAGGCTGGGAATGTTTTTCACTGGATAGTAGGAGTTTGAGTGGTGGTGACCTTATTGAGGTTTATAAAATCATGAGGGGTATAGATAAGGTGAATGATAAGGGTCTTTCCCTCGGGTGGGGGAGTTCAAAACTAGGGGGCATATTTTTAAGGTCAGAGGAGAAGGACTTAAAAAGAACATGAGGGGCAACTTTTTTTACACAGAGTGGTTCGTGCGTGGAATGAACTGCCAAAGGAATTGGTGGATGCAGGTACAGATACAACATTTAAAAAACATTTGGATAAGTTCATGAATAGAAAAGGTTTGGAGGGTTATGGGCCAAGTGCAGGCAGGTAGGACTAGTTTAATTTGGTTGGCAAGGACTAGTTGGACCAAAGGGACTGTCTCCATGCTGTAAGATTCTGTGAACATGACTTTACCTTGCCGTTGTTGCGAGGATCCTCTGTGTTGATCAACAGCAAACAGAATCTGTGGCATACTGTCATACTACAGTTTTGATGATACAGATCCTGGAAGTTATAACCATGAAGACAAGTTTGAATAAGGTCAAATGTGTCATTACCCCCGGTCAGATTTCATTTGAGAGCATAATGAGAATACAATCATCCACAATAACTTAATTTGTTAAAGCAAAAAGTTGCTCATTTGTGAGGTATAGGTGTCCATGGCAAGAACAGCATTTGTTGACCATCACAAATTGTCTTTGAAAATGAATTATTTGCTAGACATTCCAGAGGGCAGGTAAGATTCAAACACATTGTTGTGGATCTGGAAGTATCGGCCAGAGTGGTAAGGATGGCAGATTTCCTTCTCTAAATGGGATTAGTGAACCATACGGATTTTTAAGTATTAATCAATGTTAGTTTCATGATCACCAATTTTGCGATTGGCTGTTTAATTTTCAGATGCTAATAATTCAATTTAAAATCCACCATTACAGCATGTGAACTGCTATCCCTAAAGCACATCTGGAATTTTAGCCTAATGATATAACGAAGTTCACAATTGAACAAATATTCTGTCTGAGGGATGGTGAGAAATCAGTCTTTCGGTTCAGCAGTGAGATGAAGGACTGGATGAGAAGATGAATGGTGAGATTAGTCCCCACAGTGTTCACACGAAGAGAAATTTGACATGTAAGTTGGATGAGGCATTTAGAATTGCTGTTCATAATGAATCAAAGCTTTCACAAGGCTTTTGGATAACACCAAGACAGGCACAGAAGGAAGCTGTAGCCTGGAGAATGGAAAAACAACAGGGACAGTTGAGAAGTCATAGAAGGTTGGGTTGTAAACTGGGAGGGCAAGGTACCTGGCATTAGTGAAGTGAAAGGAGGATTGACGATGGAAGAGGTGAGATCAGAGAGGTAAAGAGGAGAAAAAGAGCAAAAGTGAAAATCAATTGATGGGTTTGGGTTTGGAGCAGCAGTCAAAATGTACACTTGTATTCACTTCGTAAAAACTCAAGTTAAATGGGCCTGCTTACATAAAATGTTGATACATAAAAAAATTGATAGTAAGTACACAATATGATGTAATCGGAAAAATAGCAAGTTAATAGGAAGAAGATCGAATGAGCTTCCAACCTAGGAACCTGATCACTCCCATTTCCCTGTTCTATTTCCATAGCTTTATTTCCCCATGTTCCCACCTAATTTCTTTTTGAAATTATTGATTAACCCTGCTTGCACCACCCCTACAGACAGCAAGTTCCATCTCATCACCACTCACTGAATGGAGGGTCAGCTTTGCAGGATAGCACGGATGTGACCAATATGCATCACAATTCACATGCACACAATGATCAAGAAAACCACATTATGAAATGCAACAAGCAATTTATTAGAAGCATTCAAACTTACAATAATTTATTTCAATTACAATGTTTAAACTTTAAATTAATTCATTTTAAATTGCATTAGAAATGTTACATGGAAATTCTTTTCCATACCAAGGGATGTTATAGTCAGTATAGCAAGAGAAGCCCCAAACCAACTATACATAAGACATTTTAATATAACAACTAAATCATCGCGATGGACGTATGTCCATTTTAATAACACTATTGTGGTAAAGCAAAGCTACATTAGTAACTCCAGAAACAATAAATCAAAAGTCTTGTTTTGTACTGTCCTGACCAATGTGTGCTGAGATGATAATCAGTGATGAGAGACCAATATCAAAGTGTTCACATTTTTCAATCCAACAGTCAATGCAAGTTGTACAAAGGCCTCTTCTCAAGTTCATTGCAATCATGGCAAAACACTGATCATCAAGCTATTTTGATAACTGTTGTGATCATATGTTTGCCTGCTTTTTGGTGGCATTATTGGCAGGAGTGACAATAGTTGTAAACACACCAATGCAGAGCAGCACCAGTAAGATACACAAATAGCATGATCGACATTACAAGGCAACTGTCCATGATACCGATCAACAGCTGGACTCTACATTGCCAAACGTCCTAGGAAAATCTATCCAAAAATTGTCCCCAAGTAGAAAAAATAAACATTGAAATTAGAATAAATAATTAATCTTGTATAAGATATAAACATTATCTGTACTTGCGTAAACAATACAAATAACAGTCGCCATTAGGATACTCTCTTTCCCACTATCTTTAAAAAAAGACACATTTGAGTCTTGTTCATTCTGTTGTGGTCAATCCTATTACAGCTGATAGTAAAATAAGCAAATGTGTTCCAGTGACAACTGGAGCACATCCTTCCTTCTTTTTGTCTCATATGGATTTGCATCTGCTTCACATTTATGCCTTGGACAGAATGTCACAATGTTGTGCCTTAACATTAGTTGCAAGTAGAATGAACACAACAAATGAAGTTCTAGATTTAGATTGTCCAGCAGGCACTTTGACTCAGCCTGAGTAAAAATTCATGCAATCAAAAGTGTTAATATATTTATCTCTTATACTTGATGAATTTTAAAAAAAATACTGTTGGTTGCTGTCTAATCCTTTAATTCAGTTGCAGATTCAAGGTAACTGGGTTTTGTAATTTCACCCTTTCTCCTTTGCAAAATATTTTGCACAGATTTCTTATCCTTCAAGAACAAACCCAGTAACATGGAAAGCAAATGTAAACTGAAGGATTACACTGTGATCCCAAAATGTGGCAGAATAATGTAAACACAATAAATTAAACAACAATTCTTCCTCGAGATAATGCTGCTCCTGAGATTGAAAGTTTTATTCTTTACAATTCAGAATGTTACTCTTGATGAATCCGACAAAAGTGACTCGATTGTACATGTCCATTTTCCAGAAGTACTTATCTCGCAGGAAGTAGGTGTTCACTGAAAGAGAATGAATTGGAAAGGTGATAAATCATATCACAAAAGCAAAGATTACATTGTGTGTGTCTGTGATTTGCTGTTTGCTGTTTACTGTCTCCACAGTCTCATGTCCTTGGTATACAATGACGTACTGCATCCACCGTGGCGTCATTATTGGGCGACCAGTTGCAAAAACATTTTTCATGGAACAGATTCCACGTTCAGAAATTTGGCAGGGCCTCTAGTGGTAATTCCTTGACAAGCTCGCTACTTTGACTAGACTCAAAAAGTACAGGAGCAGTGAATTTATCAGTAACCTAGGGACAATAGAGCCCTACTATATATACATTCTTTTCTGCACCTGTGAGCTGTACATCTTGCCGTTGAATATAAAGTGTTTTGTTAAGCATAAGCCCAGTAGTTTGAGTATGCAGTGTTTGTTGATTTGTTCCTTGTTCTGTCATCTCTTGTCTTCGTCTAGTAGCTCACATATGCATTTGTTTCATGATGTACTATGTCAAGGCACAATTTTTCATAATATTATAAGTTTTATCTCTATATAGGTAACAGCCTGTGCTGTACAGCAACAATGGATAGGGGTGACATTCGTGTGTAGTATTATGTGGTTCACATAATTAGTAGCGAGTAGCCTTAGAATTGCTTGAGAAAGGATAGCAAAGTTTTAGATATGGAGAGAAGATTTACCAGAAGTACATAGCACTGAGAGACTTCACTTCCTGAAGTGCTTAAATTTAGGCAGGCTTTCAATAATGTAAATAAGGAGAACCTGGTCTCCTTGGGGAATGATCAGTAACAAGACAATACAGAATTAAGATAACTGCAAAAGGGTACAGGAGATTAGGACACAATTTATTATGTAGCAAGTTTTGATTTGAAATGCTCTGCCGGAAAGGGCATTTGGAACAGATTTAATAGTAAATTTGAAAAGGAATAGGATATATACCTCAACAGACAAAGTAGAAAGTACAGAGTTGTGCAAAAGAGTTTGGGAATGGGTCTAATTGGATATATCATTTAACGAGATAACGCATGCACAATGGACGAAATTGTCTCCTTATGCACTGAAAGATTTGAAAATATTGTCAATCAAAAGCAAATATGATTACTTTTCATTAAGTCTTAGCTTTTCTTCTAACTTAAATTGTACATTTGAGCAAACATTTGCTGAAGGAGCATAGGAGCTTTTTGCCTTTCTACCATGTAGTCAGCTGGGCAGCATAGATAGTTAAAATGAATTTTCCTATATTTACAGAAACACCAAACTGCTGATCTAGGTATTTGGAGTTGGGATTTATCCATCAATAAGGGAGGAGCAATAAGGTAGTCTTTACTAATCCACCAGATCTCTTGCACCCAGGCAATACAGGCCAACATGAATTATCAATGCAACTGAAACTGAGTTATCTTAAGAGTTATGGGCTGAACTGCAAGTGTCTATATGGTTCACAGATTAACTTGGACACAACAGGATTAATTTTTTAAACTAGGAACCTCCTCTGGACATTCATGCTGTATGGTAGTTATTTATTTACTGTTAAAACAGAGGACACCCAGAACAAAATCAAGAATATCTATAGCAATTTCAAAAATTCCTATAACAGATGCTGTAACATGTCTTGGGAGAACACATTCAGTAGGTACAATGCTGTTACCAATGTCTAACAATGTTGGAGTACAAAATGACACATTAAATTGTACATCTTGTATCTATTACATGTGGCTTCTTTTGTGATTGACAAATTCAACCAGTCAAAAGGTTTGGACTGTACCACTCTATTTGGCATTCAAAACGGTAAGATATCTGATGAACTTACTTTTGTGCATGAAGACAATATTAGCATCAACTGGAATGTGCTGGAACCTGTCATAAATTGGACTGATCCTATCAACTTTCTCTGTTGCTATATCGAGCCTGAATGGCAAATTAAAAACACTCTATTAGGTTCATTGCAAGTGTAACTGGTCCATTTATAAGTGCCATAAACATTAAGTACAATTTGCAATTTACTCTAAACAAAAATATGCAGAAATAATAGATTAGTGTCCTCCACATTTGACACCATGAATTCACAGATGTCTACTACAACAGTGAAGCTTCTCTGCTGCTCTCGCAAATTTCTTATGTTAGTTCCAAGTTGCAAATATCTTTACATCTACATTAATTCCAAACATTCCATTGTTTACAATGCTTGCCTTTTCTTGCATTGAACAAAGAGGTAAGGACCATGTCCCATGAGTGAATAATAAAAGGTAAAGAGTAAGGAAATGGTAAAGAGGTTGATATAAAGTTTGTAATAGTACAATATTCTTTTTAAAAAATCTTGCAATTATATAGTACCTTTAATAAAGAAAAATAATCATACTTGATTGAGCTTGGCCTAAATTCTTAATTCTAATCACATTTTGCTCACCTCCAAACCTTCTGTCCACCAAATAGTTGCACTTTGTTTGGACCTTTCATAACTGCACCAACTATCTTTTCAACATTGGTATCAATGCCCAGTTTGCCGATGTCCTTGGGATAGCCTGGCTCAATACTAGTGCCAGAAAATACCCAGTATGATCTCCCTATGGGGAGAAATAAAAAGGAACAGTTTAGTTTCTGTTGATTACATTGGTTAGGAAGAGTTTAAAGTTATTTAGCTTAGAAATGTATATCAGCAATGAATGAACGAAAACAACATTTGCATAACGTTCCTCTATCTGCTTCTTAAGTGTGGTATCAAACTATTTAAAATAAACAAATTAATGTCTAAATTAGAAGTGTAAACAGAGGCATCAATTGCTCATTTGGTAACATTGCAAACAGAACATTTTAGACGAATATGTTTCACTGAAAAAATGAGTTCTCTTGCAAGCAAATTGAATGAGTAGTGATTGATCTCATAAGTGGACAAGATATTGAGATAACACTTAAGCAGAGATTCAGTTGGACAAAGGCAGATGTAGCCATTTTTCATTGATCGGTAGTGATTTAAAAAAAAGTGATGGTCAGTGCAAGAAAATGCTGTGCTTACATGGTCTGGCCTACATATGACTCCAGATCCACAGCATTGTGGTTATCTCTCACTGCCTTCTGGGCAATTAACAATGGACAGTAATGCTGGCCTGGCCTGCAACACCCACATCCCATGGATTTATATAACTAACAGCTAGTAGTCAAATTCTTGGAAGGAATGTTGTGGATTTCATATATGTCTGTACATGTATGACAACCTTAAAGACCGAAATGTTGTTGTTACTGAACTAACTCAGAAATTGGCTTTGTTTTGAACTATTCGCTGATCAATGGTTACCAAAGGTTCTGTTTTTCTGCCAAATCCAATGTAAAATCTATTCACATTTATTTATGGAAAGCTGAGCTCTTATCTTGCAGCAATTTTCCTAAACTATAGAAAAGAATGGTTCATCTGCACCCTTGCTCCTTTACATGAAGCTTGCCTCAGAATTTGTTAATTGTGTAGCCAAAATATTGGCCCGAGAATTATCCTTTGTTATTAATTCAGACAAACCTGAGAAAACGTAGACTCTATTTGTACTCATATCTTCAAAGGCAGCATCAATTTTGGAAGGAGCTTTTGGCCACATCTTTGCAATTGGAATTGGTCCCTTGATGACTTTCTTTGCTGATGCAAACTTCCAGACGTTTCTAGAAAATGTGAAAATAACATTAGATGGAATAATACCCAACATGTACTTGGGTATTCCCCCACTGTACCTTGGGGGAGGATATATTGGCCTTGGAAGGAATGCATTGCCACTTCACTAGAATGTTGCCAGAGTTCCAAGGGTTAGTATATGGAGATTATAAAATATTCCCTTGAATAGAGAAGACTAATTGAGACTTTTAGAATTTTGAAAAAAGTTAATAGGAAAGTAGGAGACAGCTGGTGGAGAGTCTTGGACAAGAATTATAGGCTAAAAGTTAAAGCCTGTTCATTCAGGAGCAAAATTACAAAGCACTTCTTAGTGAAGTTTGAAACTCACCTATAAAAAGCACACACTAGCTCAGTTCATGATATTGGCAATGACAGATTTTTGTATGCAAAAGACTAAGGTATGTGGAGTCCAGGTGGGTCAATGAAGTTACATGACCGATGACATGGCCATAGTTTCATTGAAGGGAAGAAGAAACTGAAAGGCCCTACTTTTGTTCATATGATCCAATGGCTTCTCTCTGAGATCAATGCCACTTAAAAATGCAAGTTCTTTCTGCTTCCACAAATTTGAATGTTGTGGATTGAAGTTATCATTACTTACCCATTTTTGAAAAAATGAAGCGTTTTCTTTATGCTTGCAATTGCATCATAAATATCCACTTTGCAGATGTCTGCACCTGGCTCGATTGTGGTGGTAGTGGTTGTGGCAGTGGTGGTGGTGGTCGTGGCCATGGTAGTAATAGGCACAGATGTTGAAATTGGTGCCATTGATGTAGGGGTGGATGATGTTGGGCCAGATTTCCGTCCTGTGTTCAGAACAAGGTCATATGAGCATGTCTACTTCGTACTAGCAATATCTTTGTATTTCACTGAAAGGTTTAGAGCAACTGTCTTTTAGCATGAAGCAATAAACCAGTCATACCATAGAGATGCTGGATTCCTGCAACATCATCACTCAATAGCCTGAAGTTTTCTTTATAGCTGTACATCGGGTACATCAGAGCATCTTTGAGAGTGGAATGATCTAGCCCCAGGGAATGTCCAAACTCATGAGCTGCCACTAAAAAGATGCTGTACCCTGCATAAGAACATGCATAAATTGGTTATTCATTTAAATGTTACTTGTCACGTGACTCTCATCCTGAGAAAAATCAACTCGCAAAGACATGAAAATATAAACTTAAGGAAATTCATGATCAAAACTGACCACTGCAATCGACCTGACTAGTTCCAGTCTAACACATGTTGGCTTTATAGTTCCGAGGATGATGCTATTGCTTGATCACATTATCTGAGTAGACACTTTGCAGTAGGTGAATCTTACCAGTGATTGCTTTAAGACCTTTCAAATGTGGGTAAGGCAAACACAACTAAAACCAATCCACTTTGAATCATAGAGTCATAGAGATATACAGCACAGAAACAGACCCTTCGGTCCAACTCATCCATGCAATCAGATATCCCAAATTAATCTAGTCTCATTTACCAGCACTTGGCCAATATCCCTCTAAACCCTTCCTATTCATGTACTCATTCAGATGCCTTTTAAATGTTGTAATTGTATAGAATTTCCTCATCTAAAATCCAAATACAGCCATATTTCAGCAAGAAATACTGGAATATGACTGGAGGCTGAACCTTTGAACTCGGCTTAACTCAAAGATGAAGAGTCACCAGACTCGAAACCTTAACTCTGCTTTCTTCCCACAGATGCTGCCAGACCTGCTGAGTTTACCAGCAATTTCTGTTTAATACAGCTACAGTTGGGAATCAGCAGTCCAACTACTTGACTACGGAAATGACATTTTTGCTTTGAGTACCACAGAACAGTGATGGAAAAGTAGACCAATATTGACAAAAGATGGAAAAGTTAACATAGTTACCAGCATTTGGACAGAAACCCCATTTTTTGTCTTTGTCGAAGTCACTGGTGGTTGCACACCAGAGCTGCCCATCTGATCTGCCATCAGTGGTGCAAGCATCGTATGTTTTGCCAAGGAATGTGAAAGGGAATGAACATAACTCTCCATCAGAATTTCCAGCAATCACAGCATCAGCTACAAGAAAAACATTTTGCACCATGAGATAAAATCAGGGAAAGGTCAGTACCAATCCATAATGAAACCTCAAAATCCACAAGGCCAGTAGGACAAAAATGTAAATGAGTGAAAAGTGATTTAAATCAGATTGCAGCAAACACATTTTTTTGCCCAGGGCAAATGAATATTTGGAATATTCTGCCAGAAAGATAATGGAGCCAAAAAGTTAGGAGAAAAAAAGATCCAGGTTAGGCAAGATGGAACAGTGGAGGGGCAGCATTGATGAGCTGGATAACAAGTTCTTAGCCCTGACCTTTATTTCTAATGCCCTTGCTCCTCGGAGATTTCATTGCAAGAAAAATAAAACCAATATCTGGAATCATTTCAGAACCAGTGGGCGCCAGTTTAAGGGGAAATGCAAAAGACACTTTTAGCTAGTGAGTGGTTAGGACCTGGTTTGCACTGACTGAGTTTGTGGTGGAAGCAATTTCATTCATGGTTTCCAAAAGGGAATTGGATAGGCAACTGAAGGGAAAAGTATAATTGCAGGCTACCAGGAAAGGGTAGAGGAGTGGCATCAGCTGAGTTGTGCTTGTGGAGAACTGGCACAGACATAACCAGCTGAATGGCTTCTTTCTGTGCTAAAACCAATCAATAGTTTTATCACAGTCCATTTGTTAAAGTTCTTTCCAGTTTTCTCTCCGTCTCTTGGTAGGTGTCGATACGCACTGAAGAGACATTCCAAAGGAATCAGCACTTTCTAGTGCCTAAGTCAAGTCACACTTCTTTATGTATAATACTCGACAATGAATGTCACTGGTTATTTGACCAGCATCACAAACTACTAACTCACCCATTCTCTAGAAAAAGCTCATTTCCAAAGAAAATCTGCTATTTTGTTTCTTTCAGTCAAATAAAAACCCCAAGCTGCATACAACATTCTATCTGGCAAAACAGACTATTGATTATTGACAAAGTTTTCTAACTATGAATAAGTACCTGGACTGGGGCAGTAGCCATATTTTTTATCCACGTCAAAGTTGCTGGTGGTGGCACACCATTTGTAGCGATCCGTACGTCCCTCAGTTGTACACTGGTCATAACTGTTCCCATCAAATATAAAGGGGAACACGCAAGGTGAATTGTCGCTGTTACCACCAAAGGTGTATAGCCCTGGACAAAAGTGAAGAGAAAATAAAAATTTAAATAGTATGCCAGTGAACAAACTGTAATTCTGATACTATTAAACCTTTACAGAGCTCTGCAATGAATAAGAATAGTAATTCTGGAATCAACCCATATGTAATGGCGGCAGTAGTCATTTTGGTCAAATAATGACACAAATTTTGCATTGGTCTGGGAGTTCAAAATTCACTTCTCCCTCCAGGTTTTCTTTTGAAGGCCCTTCTACAGGTATCAATGATCTCTAATGTGTCCAACCACGTGCATGGACTCTATAGCAGATGGCTCAGTGCAGTGATCAGAAATGGTTCTTCAGTTAGTGTTATTCCTCCCTTGACTCAAATTATTGTGTAGTTTCTCTGCTGTCCCCTGGGTGTGATCAGGTTTTCAGCAATGGACTTGGGGCCCTGGGATATCGGAGATTTACTGACACCTGAAAGCCCTGGGCACTTACCTTCTCTATAACAGCTCAATAGATTCTATTTGGCTGCTTAAACTATTCAACCATATCTTACAATAGTCAGTGATTTATTTCTGCTGGTTGTATAAGGGCGTAAGGGTCTGAAGGTGTTAATACAGAGGAGCGCCTTAAACACCACATACCAAAATGATGTCATGTACCTTAGGATCTTGGACAAGTAAAGCAAAACATCCAAGTCCACCATGTAGTCTCTGTAGTACTGTCTAATTTAGCTTGTAATTAGATGCTTGTATGCAATAAACTGCTTCTTGTTCAGTACAAGAGCTTCTTCTAGTTAGGCCAATAGTGATTTTCCTTTACTGCACAAAACCAAAAGGTCTTGTAGTTTCCTGTACTTAAAGAGGATGAGGTCAGCAAAACTGTTCCATGGTGAGTTGCAGGCCTGGGTTCTCCCATAATTTCAACAGTGGTGAGCACGACAGCCCATAGAACACTGCTGACGGTGCATTTAAAATCCTGGAGCTGAAAATGACTTCAGTTTTTCAACACTGTGTTGAAATATTCTTAATGTGTCAGCAGTCACAAGTTTGACCTCATTCCAGGTGAAACTGCCTTACAACAGATCAGCTTGATAGCAATTGGAACAGAAGGTTGAATTGAAAACTGAGACTACACATTAGCAAGGAGCCTACAGGTCAAAATTACTCACGTCCATGTGGGCAGAAGCCGTATTTCTGGTCTTTGTCATAGTCTGCAGTCGTTGCACACCAAAAATACCCATCGTCTCTCCCATCTGAAGTACAGGCTTTGTATGTGTTCCCATTGTATGTAAATGGAAAGTGGCAGAAAGCTCCATCAGCATTGCCGAAATGGGTTTTAACAGCTACCAGGAGAAAGTTTAAAACGTTAGGATCAGAAATGGAGGAGGAAGAATTCCCAACACCCCCTCAGTAAATCAACATTCCTGATCGCTACAGTGTGAACACACAGGTCAGGAGGAAAAATAAGTGAAACGTTATTTGTGGAGTCATTGCATTTGTCAGAACGTAAGAACAGAAAGAAGGCCATTCAGCCCTTCAAGTCTGTTCTGCCATTCTAGATCATGGATAATCATTTACCTCAACACCATTTTTCTATGCTATCCCCACGCCCCTTGGTATCATTAATATTTGTTACCTGCTCCTTTCCCCAAGGTCCAGAACTCATCATCATCAAAATGTGCATCACCATGCAGGTTGCCGTAGACATTTTTGCCAGGTGGGTAGGCATGTGCCAGGAGACCATTGTACCCGTCAAATGGATATGAATCTCCATGCCCTTCAATTGAGACACATAAACAATATAATTGTGAGCAGAGATCTAGAACTCCATAAGTGCTGAAAACAAGCATTGAGTGAGACAGCTGGAAAACAACCTAGTGATATTTCAGTTGGTATTCAAATATACAACTAATTTAAAAATTATTTAGCTTGCTTCACTTGGACTGAGGAAGAAAACAAGTATTTTAGTTAACTTGCCCACATCAACATCATATGATAGGGGCATCATGGCATAGTAGTTGTGCTACCAGACTAAAATTCTCACAGCTGGCTTAATGAGCTGGAGACATGAACATGAGTTCAAATCTGTCTAGGACAGCAAAGGAATCCAAATGCAATTAAAAGCTATTAACAAGGATGACAATTCCAGATTATTTTAAGCATCCATCTGGTTCATTAATTTTTTAGGGGGGAGAAGAAAATCTGTTGCCTTTACCAGGGCCAAATATAACTCCAAGATCCACAGCAAAGTGGCTGACTCTTGACTGCCTCTTAAATGGCCTAGCAAGGTTAGATTTAGAGATGGGTATTGAATTCTGGCCTTTTCAGTGCTGTGCACATTCCATGAATGAAAACATAAAATCAGACTGAGCAGAACTGGTGGAATATAGGAATGTTAACACTTGAGATGCTATTGTGTTTGTCTACTTACATTCTCTGCCAAATCGAATCATGATGTCTGCTTCGCCGCTGTAGATTTGAGTGAATGTCAATGGAGTGATGTCACTCCACAATTTAAAGGCACGAGCAAATGCATCATCAACAACAGATGGGTCCAAGTCAGGGGTGTAGCCTGTAACTCTGTTTGGGGAAAATATGACTCCATTAAATAAAAAGCAAAGTTAGCAACAAAGCAACATAAGGCATCAAAGGGGCATGGGGACAATGTGGGAATATTGCATTAAGGTAGAAGGTCAGTCATGTTCATATTGAACGGTGGAGCAAGCTTTTAGGACCAAATGGCCCATTCCTGCTCCTAGTTAACATATTTCAGTCCTGCTTCTTCAATTTAAGCAACTCTTTATTCTGTGCTTACCTGTAAGTTAAATCAGTGTGGTCCCATTTCTCATCATCAAATGTTTTGTAGTTCAGAACATCAGGAACACTACATCGAGGCTGCTTCATGGCAGTGATTGTGCTCTTATCCAGTTCTCCTGTTACAGGCAAGCCCAAGGTTTTCTGCATTTTTATGATGGCTGATTGGAGACTGATCAATGCATTGCCTGTGTTTTCCAAATTCAGGTACCCAAACCTCTTCAAGTAGTCCTGTGAATCAATCAGACCCAAAAGGTTAAAGTGATTTAGATACTGGCAATGCTATTGGAGTCAGAATTAATATGGAATGCTACTAACTCTATTGAGCATCAAATACTGGAGTCACATCCTTTTATTTTTATCACTAGTATTCTTAATTGCCTCCTTTCTTGAAGGAACAGCTTATACAGCCACACACACATGTTCATAGGCATGCACACGTATGTATACTTTCCAGCAAAATTTTAAACATAATAACCAAGAATGGGAATATTTGTTGAATGTCTCCCTTCTTGAGTTTAAGGTTATTGAGTCCAACTATAGCACTTCCTCCTGCTAGTCTGACTTAAACTTTCTCAATCAGTATATGTCAGCACAACACCTGACAGTCCACATATCAGCTCAACCTACAGGGGAAGTGTGATAGAAATTAAATTGTTTTTATCCCATTGAAAATCTGTACCAGTGCCATTGGGTCCTGGTATAATGTCTTTCTGGTGACTGGGCTACACAAAGCTAAGCAGGTTAGACTTCAAATTATAGTCGACAGTGCAGGACTCATGCGGAAGAACCTAATTGTGCCCAGACAAGTCTTACAATGTAAAATAAACAATTTTATATCTTGCTCACAGGACACCTGAGTTGAAGTTCTGAACAAGACTCCTGAAATGCACAGCTTTTGCCATTTTATTATGGCCCAAATAAATCTAAAAACTATTAGCAAAGTAAGTAAAAAAAAAGGCAATTGATTCTCAGAATTACTGATCAAATTATTCATTTAACTGGGGAAGAAAATTCTTGTTTGGAACTAAATATTCAATTAACAAATTATGTAACGATGTTGAAATTGCTGAACAGCTGGAATGAGTAACTATGATACAGTCTGTCACATAGCATAATTCCTGGACCTCATTGAAGAATTTTGTGTAGTCCTCTGCTTTTCTACATTAGATAACTACTGGATTTTTCAGCTTTAACAAATTGATACAATCAAACAGCTGAGTATAACCCACCCATCAGGGTCCAGAACACTTTTGTTGCTGTTCCTCTCAAGGTGCCATTTCAGCTGGAATTTTAAATAAACATAACGCACTTATTGTCATTTAGGTCTGTAAGAGGGGAGACACAACAATAGCTCAGATCACATCCAAATCAGAACCCATGTACGAGGGCTTTTACAACAAGCAAGCAGCAATCTAGATAGTCTTGGTTAATGCTGCTAAGGCGAATTGTACACTCAACTACTACTCAGATGAGATTAACCAATTTAGTAATGATCAGGGCCAAATCAGAATTTTATTTTACTTGAATGGCTCAAGACTGCCATGACAACTCTATGTTCTCATAACTTGACTGCAAAGCTGTCTTCACAAAGTGCATCCTCATTATCATTCAGGTAATCCTTGATAAAACATTATTGACAGGATCACGTGAACAGGCTCATGGGGAGCATAAACACTCTCATAGACCCAACTATGGAATGGTCATTTGCTATACTTTACATTCAGTCTAATTCTACAAAATTTAGTTTAAAAGTTTCTGATTGCCAGAGAACTAAATTGTTTTAAGTTCAGTTGAAATCAGAAGTACTTCAGCTATCTTGGTGACACAGCAATGCTAAAAAATCCAGACACCAACACACCATTTCCCTGCTTCAAATTGCTTTGGTTCCCCTTCCATTTTGGAGCATTATTTGCGCCTCTTTTAGTTATCCCGGGTTTTTTGATGTGTCTGGGACCATGGATTTTGTATAACCTTCCTAACATTTCAATAACCTCTCATGGGCAATCAAACCCTGTAGCATGCCTCTGTGAGCCGTTACTTGTCCCTCTTAGGTTATTTGGGTCAGTTTGGCACAGGGTGAACCCACTTGTCTGGTGAAGTTGCTATAGAGCATATTTTCTTGCCTACCCTCCTGCAGACATCCAGCTTCTCCTACCTTTTACATCTAGAAGTCCTGGATTTTCTTCTCACTCCGGCAAAGCCACAACTCCTCAGTGTGTTAACTAAAGTTTGAATCAAGCCAGAATCTTACCATTGCCATTTCGGCGTCGGTCACGTTCTGCTCCCCTGGGAATGTCACCAATGGAGGAGTCATCGGCGCACTGAAGGAGCTGTGTGCCAGCAAAGCAACACTCAACACAACTCTGATCAGCATCATGTTGGGAGCACAGCAGGCACGATCGGAGACGTCTGGCTCCCAGGGATGCTTCTGTTGTTCGGTGCAGGAGAACGGATTATTTATACAAACACACACACACACACACACACAGCTTCTTGACATCACAGCCATGACTCAGTTCAAATCAAAACAGAATGATTCATAAGCTTCCTTGGTGAGGAAAGCGGGCTCTGGGCCAAACGAATGAATGTTCAAAACATTTTTTTTACTCAGCACCGCTCTTGCAACATTTGAATTAATTCGTTATCCCACCCACCCCCTCCTCCTTCACGACTAAAATGAACCATCTCTTGCCGCGTCCAAAGGTGACATTTTCTATTTGCATTAGCAGAGGTTGTAAAATGTTCGGCTACAACAACTTAAGTGTTCCATTCATTTCATGGGTAATACAAAGACAACTTCATTTATACCATTCCAGAGAAGAGCGTATGAAAAATACACACGTTTTTCCAAATGAGTTTAGATTTGACAACATGGACTTAATAATCAATAATCCTAGTAACTGCAAGTTCATGTCCTAATTAGGTGTTTGAATTTTATTTTTAATGAGGTCCTGTTCTATCGGATAGCCGCAGCCAGGATGGGAATCTGCACCGCAAACATTAACTCCTGTTTTTCTCTCCACAGATGCTGCCAGACCCGCTGAGTTTCTCCTGCACTGTCTGTTTTTGGTTCTGAATTGAGGATGGTACTGTAAGAGGCCAGGGTGCCTCGCCAGATGTTCTGACCTCCAAAAGCACAGTCTGTTTATTCAGATAGTGTTTCATCTACCTACCTGCCAGCGCTGACTACACTCCCAAACAGCACGTCCACATGCCCACTGGAGCTGCCCTGTATTCAGTGACTGAAACAGAAGGGAGCGTTGCTTTGAATACAGGGGAATAGATGAGATCTGCAGCGCAGTCTTCCCGAGATCGCGCTTGTTTATGGACACAATGTGATAAAATAATTTTAAAATGTATAATCTATCATCTTAATGTTCTATCCAAAGCAAGAAACATTTGCCAATTTATTTTCAAGAGTCTGATATGCTGTTAATTACAATTACAACTACAGGTTTGCTCAACATCTTGATCTTTGGGGCTTTACTTGGATTATTGCCACACTGGGGAATTACATGAAATAAAATCAAAATACTGCAAGTACAGTTGAAACTGAGTGGGTCTGGCAGCACCCGGGGACAGAGAAACAGAGCTTTGAGTCCAGTGACCCTTCTTCTGAACTATTCTTGAACTGTCACTGTTCTTCAGTTCTGAAGTAGACTCAAACCGGCCTCGAAACGTTTACGAAAACAAAAATCGCTGGAAAAGCTCTGCAGGTCTGGCAGCATCTATGCAGAGAAATCAGAGTTAACATTTCGGGTCGAGTGACCCTTCCTCGGAACATTAACTCTATTTTTCTCTCTCCACAGAGGTTGCCAGACCTGCTGAGTTTCTCCAGCACTCTCTGTTTTTGTTTCAGATTTCCAATAACCGCAGGGCTGTGCTCTTGTCCGAGGCTTGTGCTTGTTGTAGCTGCATCCAATAATCAATTCTGCTCAACACACCACTATTGTTGATCCCGGCAATTCATTGAAACCCAGATGGGAGCTCTACCTGGATGCAGCGCGAGGGAAAATTCATCGCAAACTATTTTCTGACACCCTTACAATGCCCTGTCGGTACAAGTGCATGAGGGTATGGGATCGAGTGAGAAAGGAGTCAAGTGGCTTCCTGTATCTTTGATATTGCTGAGATCCCTGACTAATATTTAAAGTGTTTTTCTGTGCATCCACAATGAGTTAATGTTTAAATGTATTGCTCATGGATTGCTCAATTGAAGATCCCTCGTTGGATTTCTATTCTACTCTGTGGAGCTGTAGTTAGTCAATTTTAATAACTCGGGGTTAGATAAGAAATCTCGAGATCTTCACAGACTCATCGTTAGACCATGTCTGCTTTATAACTACCAGATCAGCTGGTCCTACCTGCTTCAGCTAGAGCTAACCGCTTCATAGATGTTAGCGGAATACGGATGTTGGTAATGCTGGCACACCGAAGCAGATACGAGGGGGGGGGGGGGGGGGGGATCTCCTGATCACAATCCAGTGGACATGTGTGTTGGTCAACGGAAAACTAAAACTCTTACCTATAATACAGCAATACTGTATAATTCATTGAAGAAATTTACAAAACTAAACTGCATTGTTGAACTAGTTCCAAACAAGTGCATTCACATTAAAACCGAAAGAACTGCGGATGCTGTAAATCAGGAACAAAAACAGAAGTTGCTGGAAAAGCTCAGCCGGTCTGGCAGCGTCTGTGGAGAAAAAAAACATCTGATTTAACGTTTCGGGTCCGGTGACCCTTCATTCATATGCGCCTTCAGCACAGAAAGCCATTTAAAGTCTTTAACTTCTAGCATTGCTTCGTGTTCAAAATATAAAGCAGGTATGATGCCTTTCATGCCGAAATATATCCGATTGCAGCGCACAACTGAGAGCGCTTGAGATGGGGTTGCTGTTACAATTTAGGCTAATTCAGGGCGACATTATCTAAAACTCCCATCTCATCATTGTGACCGTGCACACATTAAGCGGCTGGCTGGAAGTGGCGCAAATCGAAGCAAAGATTTCACAGGTACTCGGTTCTGTAGGTAACATTTTATCTTTGAGTCGGAAGTTCAGGATTTGAACCCGTCTTCTGACAGTTCAATCTAGTTCTGAAGGGAGGCTAATAAAACAGCAGCAACAACATGTATTAACGCACAAATGGTCACGTCTGCTTGTTCAATTGGTCCTAGAGGATTCCATATCACTACCTGGAGAAACAAAGACAAGATTTCAGTATCCTGTTTCGGGCAACATTCCTCCCTCCCAGGACACTATGAAAAAAAAACTTGAACTGGGCACGCATTCATTTGTTGTCTACAGAACCTTGCTGTATATATACTTGACAACAGTGAGTGCACTTCAAAACAATCTCCTGATAATAAACGCTTCATTTCTCGCTGAGATGTGATGTCTTTATCAAATTGGCACAGTGATAAGGTTTGAGGTTTCCTATTTCTGTGAAAGTTTCAGGATTCTTTAGAATTGTTTGTAGATGCGTGTCACTGTAGCATCCAATGCATCGGAGATATAGCAATCATTAAGATAGAGACAATTCTGTTGGAGAGAGATAGTAGGAACTGCAGATGCTGGAGAATCTGAGATAACAAGTTGTAGAGCTGGATGAACACAGCAGACCAAGCAGCATCAGAGGAGTAGGAAAGCTGACGTTTCGGGTCTAAACTCTTCTTCAGAAATTTCACTTTATCTCCATTTCAGACCGCAAAAGGACATTTGCACATTTGACTAATTCTGAAATTGCACGCCAGGCCCAGATGAGGACAGTACTTGGAAGGGCGGTTGATTTTGGAAGGTGACTAGAGGTAATCTTTGGGCTATTGGTAGTTTTTCTGATCTGTCTTTAATTGCATTGTTCCGAAGATTCATCTGTATATTAATTCGAGCTTTTTCTAATCGGGTGGCTCAGTGGTTAGCACTGCTGTCCCACAGCGCCAGACCCAGGTTCACTTCCACTTTCGGTTGACTGTCTTTGTGGAGTTTACACATGCTCCTAGCCTCTGTTTGGATTTCCTTCAGGTGCTCCTTTTCCTCCCACAGGCCAAAGATGTGCACGTTAGTTGGATTGGCCATGCTAAATTGCCCAAAGTGTCTAGGGATGTGGAGGCCAGCTGGATTAGACATAGGAAATACAGGGATAGGGTAGGTTGGTGGGCTGCTCTTTGGAGGATCAGTGTGGACTGGATGGGCCAAATAGCCTGCTTCCACATTGTAGGGATTCAATGATTCTAGTTTGTTTACAGCGTCTTAAGACACATAAAGATGGATAAATCCAGGGACCTGATTAGGTGCACCCTAGAACTCTGGGGGAAGTTAGGGAAGTGATTGCTGTGTCCCTTGCTGAGATATCTGTCTCATCTATACCTACAGATGAGGTGATAGAAGACTGAAGGTTGGCTAATGTGGTGCCACTATTTAACGAACATGGTAAGGAAAAGCCAGAGAATGATAGACCGGTGAGCCTAACATTGGTGGCGGGCAAGTTGTTGGAGAGAATCCTGACGGACAGAATTTACGTGTATTTGGAAAGGCAAGAACTGATTAGGGGTGGTCCACATGGCTTTGTGTGTGGGAAATCATGTCTCACTCACTTGTTTGAGTATTTTTTGAAGAAGTAGTGAAGAGGATTGATGAGGGCAGAGCAGTGGCCATGATCTATATGGGCTTCAGTAAGGCATTTGACAAGGTTCCTCATGGTAGACTGGTTAGTAAAGTTAGATCATATGGAATACAGGGATAACTAACTACTTGGATACAGAACTGCCTCGAAGGTAGAAGACAGAGGGTGGTGGTGGAGGCCTGGAGGTCTTTTCAGACTGGAAGCCTGTGACCAGTGGTACACCACAAAGATCAGTACTGGGTCCACTGCTTTTCATCATTTATATAAATGATTTGAATATGAACATAGGAGGTATGGTTAGTAAGTTTGCAGATGACACCAAAATTGGAGGTGTAGTGGACACCGAAGAAGGTCACCTCAGTGTATAACAGGGTTTTGATCAGATGGGCCAATGGGCTGAGGAGAGACAGATTGAGTTTAATGTAGATAAATATGAGTCGCTGCATTTTGGAAAGGCAAAACAGGGCAGGACTTATACACTTAATGGTAAGGTCCTGGGGATTGTTGCTGAACAAAGAGACCGTGGAGTGCAGCTTCATAGTTCCTTGAAAGTGGATTCACACATATATAGGATAGTGAAGAAGGCATTTGGTATGCTTATCTTTATTGGTCAGTGCATTGAATATAGGAGTTGGGAGTTCATGTTGCAACTGTGCAGGATATTGGTTAGGCCACTTTTGGAATACTGCATGCAATTCTGGTCTCCCTGCTATAGGAAGGATGTTGTGAAAATTGAAAGGGTTCAGAAAAGATTTACAAGAATGTTGCCATGGTTGGAGGGTTTGAGCTATAGAGAGAGGCTGAACAGGCTGAGGCTATTTTCCCTGGAGTGTCGGAGGCTGTGGGGTGACCTTATAGAGGTTTATAAAATCATGAGGTGCATAGATAGGGTGAATAGACAAGGTCTTTTCCTTGGGGTGGGGGAGTCCAAAACTAAAGGGCATAGATTTAAGGTTAGAAGGGAACGAGTTAAAAGGGACCTAACTTTTTCACACAGATGGTGATGTGTGTATGGAATGACTTGCCAGATGAAGTGGTGGAGGCTGGTACAATCACAACATTTAAAAGGCATCTGGATGGGTACTTGAATAGGAAGGGTTTAGAGGGATTTGGGCCAAATGCTGGCAAATGGGACTAGATTAATTTAGGATATCTGGTCAGCACGGGCGAGTTGGACCAAAAGGTCTGTTTCCGTGCTGTACAGCTCTATGATTCCATGATTCTATGTGGATGATGATTGGCCATCTTGAATACTGGATGGACCGTCCATCCCTTTTTTAAAAGTCATGAGGAAGTTAGTTGGATTTTTCCTTCCTTGATAATGGATTAAAATGCTGAGGTCCGGTTTCTGCTTGTTTCCATTAACCAAATCAGCATAAACCAGGCAGAATTAGTCAAATCAACATGCAATATTGGAGAATTAAAACTGTAGGTGAGTTACACCCAAAAGGTTTTCCCCATACTTTTCCACTGGTCAATATTCAATTTGTCTGGATAAGTCCTTGCCATTAAAACTGGACATGCACTCAACTTAGAATAAAATTGACAGGAATCTACTAATTGCATTACTTCAGGACTGCATTCATTTTTAGTAAGCAGGCATGAGTAGGCATATTTTCAAATATTTCTTTCAAATAAGTGCTTAATTTACTAAAAAATTTGATTTATATGAACTCCAATGAAACAGTGAATTCTTCAGTATAGTTTTATTTGGCAATTTTTAGTGATTCTAAATTGAGTTACTCCGAAGTTGAAGGAGTGGACACTTGTTAAAATTGCTTGCTTTTGGTGATAAACAGAGTTTTAGCTGGATAAACAGAATTGCACATCATCACAAATATATTTGCCAAGGAATACTTCTGGTGGAAATAAAAGAAACAGTTGTGTGCTATTTTATTCTACTTGCCAATTGCTGGCCATGTAAATTAATTATTCCAGAAATTTAAGTATAACTTAACCAACACAATTACAAAAGTAGGACTGAAGCTTGCATTTCTTTGGTTAAGTGTCAGTTCTATTGAGTTTCTTAGATGGTTTCTGACCATGGCACCTAGTGAGCTCTCACACCATAACTTACCAAACCCCCTCATTAATTACCTACCCAGCCCCTATAATGCCCATCTCAACCAATTCTAGACCATATGCTGTTCCTGGAACAACTTGCTGCTGCCCAACATCTGACATCACTCTCCCTGCACATTCTCTGTACCGCCTACTCATTTACTTTACTGGTATTTGAGGCTGCCTTTGACTAACTGTGCAGGGGACCTCCTGACTGAAAGCCATCTCCCATGGCGTGACCTCTCACAGCTATAATAAGCTTCTTGGCCTTGTGTCTGTGCTAAATGGCAATGGGATACTGCAGAACTATGAGCCTAGTATTTCTAGCTGAGCAGCAAGGCACGAAAAGGCAAAGCAAAGTGGGGATGCTGTGAGCACCCAGTTAGGCTCAGAGTGAGAGAGCAATATGACAGTAAGCAAAACCCTGGAGATACAGCCTGATCAAATCCATGAGCTGGGTCTGTGTCCCTGATCACACAGTGTCCTCACTGCAGCATTACAGTTACTGGTATGCCTTGAAGTGAAGCATTGACATGCAAAAGCGTACTGTAAGTGGATTGGAAGTATGAGATGGGGGTTCTCAGAGGCTGGCACATGGTGAATGCTAATGTCAGTGGACATAGGGTGCAACTGGATGATGCCTATGGAGCATGTCCTAAGATGTTGGTGTCTTTTGGGGCATACAGTGAGCTGAAGTTGCCCTGTACCCACTCTGATTTCCATGTTGAAAATTCTCATGTCAGGTTTGCTCACGGCTAGTGGTAGGATATGAATTTGCACACCAGTGAGGTGAGATTTGGTGTTAATGAGGTTGTTAACAAGAAATAATTCCCCTTCATAGGGGACTCAATGCTCCCTCAGGCCAACATATAGATCTTGGTTAAAAGATGCAGTAAATTGCTTCTAACTTTGAGATAGGCCTTGCTGGACTTCTTGTGTGATTCTGCCACATTTCTCACTCTAACCCCCAGCATTCATGCCCAATAAGACTTCACCCATATCTACTATAATCGCCAACTTAATTTAAAATCATCCTGTTCAGACATGTGTGTAACACATTTCCAGAGCAACTAGGTCTTGAAACCAGACCTTCTAATCTAGAGGTGGGGACACTATCACTGAGTCACAGGAACCGTCAAGTGATTCATGAATGACTTGAACTTCTAAACTTCCAGTAACATCACAAACCATTGCCGGAGAGGGTAGTGGAGTTGGCCTCATTAAGGGGATTTAAGCAGCTATCAGATAGGCATATGGATGATAGTATAAGGTAGTGGTGGAGGTTAGATAGACCTTAGGTTTCAGGTAAAAATTCGGCACAACATTGTGGGCCGAAGGGCCTGTACTGTGCTGTACTGTTCTATGTTCTATGTTCACTACAAATGCTTTACACATTAGGGGAGGCAATGGCCTAGTCATATTATCACGGGGCTGTTAATCTAGAGACCCAGGTAATGTTCTGGGGACCGAGGTTTGGATTCTGCTACTGCAGATGGTGGAATTTGAATTCAATAAAGATCTGGAATTAAGAATCTAATGATGGCCATGAATCCATTGTTGATTTTCAGGTAAAACCCACCTGGTTCACTAATATCCTTTAGGGAGGGAAACTGCCATCCTTACCTGGTCTGGCCTAAATATGACTCATGACTCATGTGGTTGACTCTTAACTGCCCTCTGGGCAAATAGGGAAGGGCAATACATTGAATCAGAGATAGTAGGAACTGCAGATGCTGGAGAATCCGAGACCACAAGGTGCAGGGCTGGATGAACACAGCAGGCCAAGCAGCATCATAGGAGCAGAAAGGCTGACATTTCGGGCCTAGACCCTTCATCAGAAAAGGGGGAGGGGAAGGGGGTTCTGAAATAAATAGGGAGAGAGTGGGAGGCGGATAGAAGATGGATAGAGGAGAGGATAGGTGGAGGGGAAACAAACAGGTCGAAGAGGCGGGGATGGAGCCAGTAAAGGTGAGTGTAGGTGGGGAGTTAGGGAGGGGATAGGTCAGTCCAGGGAGGACAGACAGGTCAAGGGGACGGGATGAGGTTAGTAGGTAGGAGATGGGGGTGTGGCTTGAGGTGGGAGGAGGGGATAGGTGGGAGGAAGGACAGGTTAGGGAGGGGGGG